AGTTGAATAATCTAATTTACCTAGTTGTGAAAAATTCGTGACCTCGGTGGGATTCGATTAAATTCGCGGCGCTCGGCGTGCCCCAGTAGAGCGTTGGCTGTACTAAAGCCTTCCCTGCTGATGTAGATTTGAATAACACCGAGGCCACGAATTTTTCACAACTGGATCAATTGTCACAGTAAATGTTAAAAACCCCATCAGAAAATAATTAATGACTACAATTGCGGTAGTGCTTGGTGCTTGTTTGACGTGACACCAAGGCAACTGCGAATTTAGCGCAAACCAACAGCAGCCAGTTGACGCCGCAAAAAAATCAATTAACAAGATGCTACATAATAACACGTTACGAATGTATAAAAATCTACCCTGGACAGGCAAAATTGAACTTAAAAACAAGCTCATCCGTTTGCCTAAAGCGTCGCCTGATATCCATTTTACAAAAGAGTGAACTGACTCTTGAAGTTGTCTAATATCTTAAAGGCAGGAAAGATTCTGGCGAAGCCCACTGCATGCAGTTGGAGGTTGGAAATCGAGCGGTCATTTCGCAGTAACTTTTAACTAATTTGTCTTCCAGACTCTGCGATTAAGTGCTAACAGAATCGCCCAATTATACTGCCGGAAATACTTGATTAATACAGTACGAAGTGCTATTGACGAAGCCAAAACAGACATACAGAAAATCTTCCTTTAAGCGTATGCTGAAAGGTTGAGAAAATGCTAGGACACATGGACAGTCAACCTGACCTATATACTGATATCAGGTAAATTTAATTAGCTAGTACATGGCGATGAGGGTCTGATATCGAGGAAAACACAGACTGGCCGATGAAGGCGCGAGATACCGGTTAAGCATGAACTAGCGGGCAGTTTTGTAAATACAAACCGGGCGTGACAGTGTCAAGTGCGCATACGCATGTAGTTGGCTCAACAGTAAAACCAAAGCAATGGGCATTGCGGCCACCCAGTTCCAGTTTTCCTGGGTCGGGTATTCCCTGGAGGAAATGCTCCAGTAGCATTGATCGAATCATGATGCCAAGATGAGGGAGGGTAGGGGGGAGGAGCTGCCCAAGTTAAGTCAGTTTGTTGTGATCGCGGCATGGGTGGATGATTCGGACATCAAAAAAGGAGTAAACGAAGACGGTGTCTTGATGCGTGACAGTTTACTGCCGGCAAAGCCATATGCATGGCTACAGCAGAATAGAAAGAGGAAAAATACCAGGAAATGGGCAGGCCGTCTCTTCAGCCAAACGGACTAGCAACCGGTTAGATGAACCGAAGCACCCAAAATACGACTAGAATAACGGAGCAACGACGACTGACGAGAGCAAACAAATAGTTGGTCTTTTAAGTGTCACGAGGACAGAGTAAACGCTCACTAAAAAATAAAAAGCGGTCACAAAGTAGGAGCATGAGGAGAAAACTCACTACAAAGGCCTGATGGCAAGCAACCAGCCATTCGCTATCTGCCTTGACCATTATATCACGTTCTTCCCAGTAACCCGACTGAGAATGATCTAGCAGATGCTGCTTACTCATCATCTTCATGGCGTAGACGCGGCGGGTGTTCTTCTCCCGCACGAGCTGCACACGTCCGAACCCACCCTGACCAATGACCTTGACCAGTTCGAAGTCGGTATATTTGGCGCGCTGAGAGTATATCACATTGGCGACATCTGAAAACCTGAAGCAAGATAAAGGAGATTAACATCATAAGAAGAAGATAAACAAAAATAGCACACAAAACAATAAGACGACTAAGAAAGCTAGCAAAAGGTGAACAGGATAGGCAGGAGACGAAGGAGAGGAGACAAAGAACGGGTAAGAGCAAATAAGAGCTACGGAAAATTAGGCGTATTGCAAAACTGCTGGGCTTCACGGTTGTTTACTAAAAAATCGGGAAAAGCATACAGCCGGAAATGTGTGACAAGGGGTCTAAGGGTTTCTTGATTTTCATATCTCATAATACCAATTTATCTAGACTTGGCGCGGCTTTCGAATTTGAGCCACCCATTTTTTTTTGCTCTCCATTCAC